AAAAAAAAAAAAGGATAAAATTGGGGTATTAAAGGGCAAAATTATAGAAATCTTAAATGCCCATTAAAATTAAATGAAAGCAAAGAAACAATGAAAAATGCTTAGCCTAATGACATCCCTCTATGAAATGTCAAAAAGATGGAAAACTCTCTACAATTAACACAATTAGGAGAAAACCACTAACAAATGTTGGAGGCTAAGAAAAAAGAATTATTTTCTACTGTACAGTAATATTGATAGGCCTTTGTATTAGAAAAGTCAATGTTAAATCGGTTCTATAAAATCACAACAGTGTGTATTCAGTATGGAATACTAGTGTATATAATCATATCTACACAATAAAATATAATAATTTTTGTGGGATACTTACTGCTCCCTGATTCAGTTTTGCACATCCTGTTGTGTTTGGCTCCTCATGCTGTTCTGATCTCTCACATACTAACTCTGCACGGATTTATTGCTCCATTGTTCCCACGGTTTGAACATTCTGACCTTTCTTCATGTTGCAGTTAGGAACTTTATGCCTGACCATTAGAATATAGTTAGGTTGTCTAGTAAGTTGCCTAGTTACCCATGTACACAAGGAGAATTTGATCCTTTCCCTTACCCTATATTTACCTGGATTATTCTCTTGAATAAACAAGAATTGATGAGAATCCTGTCTTGTCTCCATCTCCGGTGTCTCTTGTCCCATCTCATTCTCATGCTCTCTCTAGGGACTCTGTTGACTTTCAGGTGGGCCAGGGTATATTGGTGCCCATCGTGTCTGGAACACGAGAGATTCAGTGAAGAAGCTGTTCAGAGAGGCCCAAATAAAGTGAAGTATAATTAAGAGGAAGAAAAACACAGGAACCTGCTGTGTCTTCTAAACCTCAGAAAACAGAACAGTGATCACAGGACAAACAATTACTTAGCACGAAATGAGACATACATTCAAGGCACAAGGGGTAAATATTAAAATTAAAGTATAGGTTTCTTTGAGTATATTAAAGATGTTTTATAGATGAGAAAAATGATAGATAGTCAGAGAGGCTCTTAGAGATTACTCTTAAGCATTTATACCAAGTACTGTTCCTGTAACTATCTTTTTACTAGAATTAATAATTTTTTTGTTTTAGAGGTCTTATGATTTTGTAGTGGGCAATGTTATTGGGATAGAAGAGAAAGTATTATTAAAAGATAAGTTGGACATAATGCATAAAAAGGAGCCTAAATATTTGCAATGGCAAATATGGGTTTTTAAATTTGAGAAGGCTCAAATTGATGCAGTCAGCAACAATCCTCTGCTAAGGGAAATTTTTTTCCTATGTTAATAGGTAAGTGGAGCTTGTGATAACACTAATCAGCAGACTCATACCCCAGTTGAAATACATGAATAACTGAGAGAAATAGGCATGAAAGCATGGGAGCATCTTCGCTCCATGGGAGAAAACGTTGGTTCATAGATTAAAGTTATCCAGAAATCTAATGAGCCTTATATTGAATTCCTAGCTTGACTAAAACAAGCTATAGAAAGAACTGTAATTGGAGAAGAAGCAAGGAAATAACTTCTGAAAAGGCCAAGCATATAAAAATGCCAAGTTGTGTTATAATGAGCTATGCTATCAGCTCAGGAAACAGGAAATATTAATAGTTATAGGAAAGCATGAAAAGATATTCCATCTGAAAGAAAATTACAATTGGCTCCTGAAACTATGGCCACCATTTATTATATTTGTAAATTAAAATAAAAATTTAAAAGATTTAAAATGCTTTGGATTTTGGAAAATCAGTTTCTTTTTTTAAAAAATATTTATTTATTTATTATGTATACAATATTCTTTCTGTGTGTATGCTTGCAGGCCAGAAGAGGGCGCCAGACCCCAATACAGATGGTTGTGAGTCACCATGTGGTTGCTGGGAATTGAACTCAGGATCTTTGGAAGAGCAGGCAATGCTCTTAACCTCTGAGCCATCTCTCCAGCCCCCAGGAAAATCAGTTTCTTAACAAAGAAGTTCAGACAACAGAAAAATTAGTTAAAGAGCATATTTAAAAGGCCTTTTTGAATAGGTTATAACCTATAATCACATGGAAAATGTCTGAAGATCTGACATTTGAAAATTTGGAAATGCTCTAAGGGATCATTGGTAGCCTTTCCTTTGTTAAAGATGACAGTGGACATTTACATACAATGCTAATCATCTACATTTTCAATATAAAATTCCATTTTGATAAACTAATCATACTTTTCCTTGGACAGCAGAGTAGAGGGTGCCTGAACTGGCTTTATCCTATAGCCACACTGATGAATATCTTGCATATCACCATAGAACCTCATCTGGCAATGGATGGAGATAGAGACAGAGACCCACATTGGAGGACTTTGACTGAGATGCCAAGGTCCAAATGAGGAGCAGAAGGAGGGAGAACATGAGCACGGAAGTCAGGACTACGAGGGGTGCACCTATCGACCGAGACTGTGGGGCTGGTCTAATAGGAGCTCACCAAGGCCAGCTGACTGGGACTGATGGGGTATGTGGTCAAACAAGACTCCCTTAATGTGGCTGAAATGAGGGCTGACTGAGAAGCCAAGGACGATGGTACTGGGTTTTTATTCTACTGCATGTACTGGCTTTGTGGGAGCATAGTTTATTTGGATGCTCACTTACCTAGACTGGGATGGAGGGATGAGGACGTTGGACTTCCCACAAGGCATGGAACTCTGACTTCTCTTTGGACTGGAAAGGGTGGGTGAAGGGGGTGGAAAGAGAGGAATGGAAATGGGAGGAGGAGAGGAGGTGGAATTTTTTACTGAAAAAAAATTCCATTTTGATAAATTAATCATAATTTCAAGTCCGTTACATTTTAAAACAGCAAATTGAAATTTTAAAAAGGAAGATTTTGGTAAAAAATAAATATGAAATATTTGGAATCATAATTGCAACTTTATATTAATACATATTAAATTTCTTAATTCTGCCCTGAAGAGATATTCTACTTAGAGTAGATAAATATTTTGCTCATACTCCAAATGTTGAACTAGCAGAAAAATTGCCATAAATACTGAATAGCATCCATCATTTCTAATGGAGAAAGGGACAGGGTATAGTATTGTTTGTTCAGGATGAGTGGCAATTATGACTCCTGAAGTAGACATTCCAATATTGGCCATGGTAAAATTATACTCATGGAAGTGACCTCGACAACATTAGTCTTCACCACGATCACCAATTTGGGGTCAGGTGAAATCTCTTGTGCTCTATGGTCATATTATTGTCCAGAAGTCCAAAAGACCAGTTACAGCTGAATATTTTTTCTGGCTGTATGTGCTCTGTTAATTGTCCCTTCTGTTCAGGGACCAGCTGTAAGTTATTGTGCTTATGTCTCTTGTACACCTTTGTTTAAGCCTGTCTTTTGGGGAGATACTGATGTTTTAGTGTACATCATTGTAAGTATCCTCTCTCCTCCTTGGAATGACTTGATTTATCTGAATAATTTTGATGGGACCTCTTATAAACTTTACTTATTGTAGGGATAAGCCCGCCCCTTGGGCGGGCCCGCCTCGGGGGAATGTTTACTGATAAATTGGGTGCACAAAAGCCGTGTGCTCCTTCCTTCCTGCTCCTAGTACTCCGCTGGAACCTTGGTTTCGTGAGTCTGGTTTTGTCATTAAACTTGTTCAAATACCTATTACTATTGGTCTTCATTAATCCAAACCGCCACAATTTATATGGATGATAGAAAGCCAATAAGCTTTGGAAATTGTCTTTGTTTATCAGTGGGATTACATCATTGGTTACAAACTGGAATAAAATTTGCAGATCTCGTACTCATATTCAAAGTTTTTCAGCATGGTAAATTAATCAGACCTGTTACAATTATTTTCAATAATGAATTATTATATCCTGTATTACCAGATTTTTCATATTATGGTTTAAAATCTCAGCCATTTATTTGGAAGACTTGTTTGGGCAAATTTGGCAAAATAATTCAAAATAAATAGATCCATTGGTGCCCATATTGTCAATTTATTAACACTTGTTCTGAATGGAATATTATCACTTGTGATTTGCTTAATATTACCACATTAAATTGAGTCAAGAATGAAATGATAACTGGAAGACATCTTTTGGCATGGGGAGATAGAGGAATCAGTGATAATCACATTCCTTACTCAAAGACGCTACTGCAATTCAGAAGATTGTGGCTGCCTTAAACCTGTTCAGCTTTAAATGGCTCATATATTGAAACAGAAGTATCTGCTCCTACTTATAAATTTCACTTATTTGGAAGTAGTAATGTTACTGCTTGTGTACCACTACCACATGCACTTTTGTTGGAAGAATTAATTTTACAACAGGAATTAATTTTTATGAATGTTAATTGTATTTATACATTAATTGCACTGTTAAGTTTAATCCTCAGAATCAACCACTTATGATATTAAAACAGTATACAAATATTTTGCTGCCAGTAACTTGGGTCGTTCTTGTGCTCAAAATCCTCTAGTTAATATTGTGGAATTCTTCAAAAAGATATTGAAAAGATAAAGCACAGGTTCGGTGTAATAATAGTTGTAATTCTTAATCTTATTGCTGGTTTTGATACTACTTCTGTGGCTAGTTTATAGTTTATAGAGACAGAGAATTTTCAGAAACAGGGCTGGACATGACGTATAGGACATAACATGTGACTCAGAACTGAAATAGTGGGAATAAACGATTACCTGACTGCTAATTTCCCTGAGCTTTTTCTCATACAGATGTCAAGAGTAGTCTGCCGGGTCTGGGCAAATTGAAGTTATGGTTTCAGATATAAACATTTGTAGCTGAGAGCTAGCATATTTCCAGAGGCTGACTAGGAAGGGCCTGCTATGCTGACAATATTATCAGCTCTCCTTTCTGCAGACTGAAGGAGTGTGTGCATTAAAATTTTTCCCTGAACAATGAGGAGTGTGATCTCAATTCCATCAATAGGAACAAAGCCTGGGGTACCTTGGAGATCTGCATCAGAGCTGCTGGCTTATTTCTCCCTCCCATCTCAATGTTTCTTCTGACAGAAAAAAAATAAAATAAAGTGGATTACAGGAAAAAATGTAGCTTAACTAGGAACAGAATCCAGTTATCAAAAAAAGGAAATTATTTTGAGTTAACTAGGATGTGATCATATCTGACTTCTTGTGTCTGTATCCTATCTATCAAAAAATTTCCATCTCCTCCTGCTGATGGCTGATTGTGATACTGTGTTGCCGATATCAGCTTCCTGGTATCACGTTCAGAAATATCATGTCATAGTCCCTAATCATACTGATGTGGGAATCAGACACTTGAAATTTTCATATTCCCAGGTACCGGAGGCTATTTCCTGACATAGCAATTACCTTAGAGTAGTCTCCAAAGACGCACAAGATCAGTACAACCCGGTTGCTGTCACGTATAGACTCTTAAAGAAAATATTCAATTATTCAATATTGCTAGGTTTATACTGTCAGAAAATATTATGTGGGCTTGTTGGAAGAAAATAAAATAAGTGGTTACACAGAGCTAGATACTGTATATAGCAACAATGATCTGCAGGACAAGATGTGCCCAGTGGTGCAATAGAAATATGACTCTCATGGAACAAAAACTGTTTTCTGACTGGATATGAGGCTGGGCCAATAGGGAGAAATTTTGTGCCTGGTCTTGTAATCTTGTCCAAAACCCCATGGTTGAAGGAGTTATAGGCTTTAGGGTAGAGTCTGCTGTCAGGCTTTCACTAAATGGTTATGTTGCCAATTTGTCT